TGGGAGCAGGTAGTGGTGGGTGGCGGGTGCTCCCGGAGGTGATGCCTTCTGCATCAGAGTTGAGGACCACAAACATGGCGTCTTGCTGAAAGGGGCCCAGCTTTACCTCTCCAGGATGTGAGCTCTCCCCACCATACCAGGTGAAGATGGCCATTAGTGCCCCTCTGCTGAGCAGACCTGTGACATTAATCACCTTGACACAGAGGCTTGTGACTCAGTTAGCAGAGTCTGCCTTCCTTCAAGGAATCTGTGAGACCGAGAACGGGCACGCATGTTGGTTCAGGTCAGAAAGCACTGTCTTGCCTTCCCACTGCTCACTTGCTTCTCTGTCGCTGTGAAAGCATTAACCTCTCCACCAAGCTTGCCCCAAGAGTCCTAATTGGGGGAATACAAGGAATCTGGAAAGTGCTTGAATTTTCTTATGTTCCTCCAAGTCCTTATGATTTCCCTGACGTGATAAATTCTGTGTAGTGCTTGCCGTGACTGACATTGGCAGCCTGCTGGCAAAGAAAGCAGGGAGTCTGAGAGTTCCCACTCTGTAGAGCAAACAGAACATCCTGCTTTGACCCAGTTACTGTGACTCAGCCACCTACGAGCAGCAAGTTCAACAGAATGATGACAGGGTTGGGGGAATTTCTGTTGAACTTACTGTTGAGGGGTAAGGGGAAGATGGGGTCATCCCATCATGCCAGGAAATGGGCAAATATGGCCTGCTGATTCCCAGCCATACACAAAAAGGGTCTCCTGGCCCTCATTCATCTAATACAACTAACCCCTAAGCTGTTTCCAATAAAAATTTCCTGTTTCCTCCTTAACACATTTGTCTGTTGTTTACTAAGAGAAAACCTAGGCAGAAAAGCTTCTTATGTCCATTGTATTTTTAGTTTTTGATAGCATTTTGGAGAATGACTTTTGAAAGTCATCTTCAGCGTTTTCATACCACCACTCAAATAAACTGAAGGAAAAATCTTGCCCAGAGAGCCAGTTAGTGGCATCTGGGAGGTAAGGTGACTGTGGTAATATAACATGAGCGCGCTTTCTTTAATGTCTTAAATGTTGTTTATAGTTACATTTAAGGGAGCCACTGTGTGGCTCATTTTTGTATCTTAGGCCCTGTTCTCTGAATGTAGAAAAGCTCACTTTTAAGGAGAAATGACTATTCCCCCACTTATTTTCTTATCTCTGGGGAGTGATGTCAGTAATTAACATTTTTCACTGTGAGGAGTGAATGAATGAATATGCTTTAAAGTATTTGGACAGGGCTTCCCTGGTGATTAAGGGGTTAAGTCTCAGCACAATAATGAAGCTATTGGCAGCTACTGCAGCACCAGTTCTAAGCTGGCCTGGAAGCTAAACCACTTGGTGCAGCAGAATCTCCTGTCTCAAGGGCTTCTCCCCTCAGCAATGTATTTCAGTCATTTTGCCTGTTCTCCCCACTCTTTCTCTGGTGAATCCAACCCCCCTCCACCCTCCTCTTCCCCATACACACACAACTGGCCTAAACCCCTGCTCTGCTTTATATGTATAAATAAATTAAATAGATCATTAAAAAAAATAATAAGTGCTCAAGCAGGGCCTTGCACATATTGGGCCCTGAATAGCAGTTATGAATAGATTTGTCAAGAGGCATCTGGAGGACTGCACAGAAGTGGCAGCCTTGGGGATGCGCCTTGAAGGATGAGTGAAATCTGATATACAGAAAAGGGGAGAACATTTAAGACGGGGAGGTCACAAGTATGTGTGGGAAGGGAACCTCCAAGTTTACTTTGGCGGGGATACAGGAGGACTGGGGGCTGAAGAGTTAGGTTGATACCTTGCAAACCCACACAGAGGTGTTAAGACTTGATTTTCGAGGCACTGGAGCTACAGCAAAGACTGAGGGAGAGAAAAGATAGTGAAACTTACAGCTTATGAGCCAAGTTTGAAGAAAGGAAAACAAGTGAAAGTTAATTCTTGCATCAAAGGTGAAAAAATAGGAAGCATATTCTCTACCTGACTTGAATGTAGATACAGGTTTGTTTTATGTTAAGTATAACAAAAGATTATTAATCGGTATTTACATTGGAATGTTAGCATTTTACCTTGACCTACTGGTAGTAGAAAAGGATTGGGAGTGAGGTTAGCAACTATTCCATTTATTAAACATCAGTGACAAATTTTCACAACCATTCTACAAAGATGGCAGGTTATGTTCTCATCTGCTCTGCAGCCTAAGTTTTCATGAGTGAACATCTTAACATATATAATGGATCATACACTTAATCTGCTTCCTGTAGTTTCACATTTAAAGAATACACATCTATGGCCCTCCCTAGTGGCGCAGCGGGTTAAAGCACAGCACTAAGAAACTAAAGCCACTTCAGCATGAGTTCAATCCCCACCTGCCCCGGAGGTGATCCACATGGCAAGGCAGACCACTCCTGACCCGCCCGCTGTTCCCCTCAGCAGTGTACTTCATCAGTCTGCCTGTTCTGCTCCACCACTCTGTCTCTGGCGAAGCCTCTCACTGTCCCTGCACCTCTGGCCTGTACCCCAGTTCTGTATGAACAATAAATAAATCTTTAAAAAAAAATACACATCTATTTTTAAAGTGATACTAGGGAATTTCTGCAGTTCTTGAAAGTAATGTACTTTTTTTTCCATTATAAACCTCTAATTAGTTGATCAGCTGAAGAAGCAAATTTTCACCTGTTCACATCATTTCTAACCAATGTCAGAAGAGTAACTATGTGGACACAGTTTATTAGATCACATTTTTGGTCATTTGAGGTCATTTCATTTTCTTAGTTATGGGAAATAAGTAAGAGATTAGCATAACAACAATAGATACTTATGTGTTTCTGAAATTACATGGACCTTACAGAGAAATATGTGTGAAAACACTTTGAAATTGTAAACTATGACATAAATAAATGACTTTTCAGGAAAATAGTATATTTCAAATCTTTCATTTAAACCATTTTTTCACCAAAAAAAGTCATGAATGCATCCTAAATAGTGGAAAAATAAGCCAGTCAGTAGTGTCTAAGGTTTTTTGTGTGTGCTAACCTGATGTCATATCTGAAAACTGGGTGAACATTGAGAATTTCAGGTTACTTACTACTTGTTAAATAAAATATTAAGGAAGCAGGAACATTTACATTTTCACAATCTAGTGTTCATATCTAATAAGCTGTTGAATGGAAACACCATCTGAATAGAAGAATGGTATTTAAAATAGTTTTTGAACACTTAAGCTTCTCCCCTGCCCCCCAGGTGGCCACTGAGAGAGTTGGAAAAGTTCCCTTGTTCTTTAAAATATTGAGCTTTTATATATTTTGCCAACAATTTAGGTTTTTATAAAATGTTCATGATTTTATTCAAAGCTTCCTTAATTCCTTTCTAAGGCAATGCATAAACTGCATTAAAAATGTTAAGCATCGGCCCTCCCTGGTGGCGCAGCGGGTTAAAGCACTGCACTACAAAGCTTAAGCCACTTCAGCATGAGTTCAATTCCCGCCTGCCCTGGAGGAGTCCACATGGCGAGGCAGACCTCTCCTGACCCGCCCGCTGCTCCCCTCAGCAGTGTACTTCGTCGATCTGCCTGTTCTGCTCCCCACTCTGTCTCTGGTGAATCCTCTCACCCTCCGCATCTCTGGCCTGTACCCCAGTTCTATATGAATAAATAAATAAAATCTTTAAAAAAAAAATGTTAAGCATCAGCAAGTTCACATTGGAGTATAACTCATGTATATTCTTTTATCCAATGCAGACTTTGACGTTCTTACATATTTATGGTACTTTGTCCTTCACCATCAATTCAGTGAGTTAGGTTTAATGGTGCTACTTTCATGGCTGCATTGAAAAATTCAAGAAAGTAAATGGCCATACCATTTATATTCATGCTGAGGCCCCAGTTGGTTTTTAGTTAGTATTAACTTACTCATCAGAAGTTAGAGGGTCGTTTTTTCTCGGTGGCCTGCTCAGCAAGGACATTCCTACTTGGTTTAATGAATTTGAGTGTCCTTAATAACCTTTCTTTAAAGGGCAGGAACTCCTATGGAGAAAGCTTTGAAACCACAAAGTTAACTAGACAAAAGTAAGACATGTAGACAGCTCTTAATATAGCCTATCTGCCTCCCACCTGGCTCAGAGGAGAGATGCTTAATGAAGATTTGAATCTGGAATAAATTAAGCCATGTTGAGACATTTATAAATGAGTGAATAGCCTTACATAACTAGCTTTCTAATGGCCTGAGGAAGAGGGAAGAGGGGTTGAAAGAATATTCTTTGTGCAAACAGAGAAACTAATTAATGTACTGGGACCTCCTCTGTGAGTCTGTTTTAACGGGATTGTAAATATGTGCTTGAGTGAGTTTGAACACAGAGTGTCAGTTGCTCTTTGCCTTTCTGTTTATCAATACTATCTACAAGATGTTAACCACCGGAAAGCAGAAGCTTTATTAGGCATTTCAGCCTGTCCAGACTGTGGGATTTATTGACTTAATGCCGTCCCAGGCACCTGATGACCAGGGTCTCCGTGGTACTGGGCACCCCTAAAGGCCATTGCCCAGCATGTGGGCGTCATTCGAACATCCCATGAGGTGTCAGAAGGCCTGTTCCCTTTGGTCAGGTTACTGCATTTTCAGGGTGTCAGATGTAGTGGGTAGCCATTTTTCTGACTTGAAAAGTAAATTAAGTTAAGCCAGGCAGGCTTAGAATTAGTTATTTAATTCCTCTGCAACTTTCTCATTATGCCCTATTTTCATAATCATTTGTAACCATAACACAGAGTAACTTATTACTAGGCTTCCTTTTTTTCTTTTTCAAAGGAAAGTCAAACAATTGTATGTCTCTTTAGAAACCCCAAAAGAAGCTCAAAAATGTAAAACATGTGAACTAATTTTTTTTTACCTGTTTTCATCCTGCTTGCTTATATAACAGAAGTCATCTTATTAAAGAAAAAAATAGTCTGAGATACACACAGCTAACAACTTTGTCTTTCTTGTGTTCTGTTACAGAAATCGAAGCCAAAGAAGCTTGTGATTGGCTACGGGCAACAGGTTTCCCTCAGTATGCACAGCTTTATGAAGGTGAGCTGGGAAAACTGATTTTTTTTTTTTTTTTGTTAAGATTATTTATGCTTACAAAACTGGGGTACAGGCCAGAGGTGTGGGGGGAGGGTGGGGTGAGAGGATTCACCAGAGACAGAGTGGGGAGCAGAATAGGCATATTGACATAAGTACACTGCTAAGGGGAGCAGCGGGCGGGTCAGGGGAGGTGTGCCACACTGTGTGGGTCAGCTCCCTGTCTGGGGATTGAACTCATGCTGCAGTGGCCTTGGAAAGTTTCATAATGCAGTGCTTTAACCCATTGTGCCACCAGCGAGAACCCAGACTGATTTTTTTTTTTAAGCTGGCATAATCATATTCGTCTTTCATGATTTATCATTGACCAACATTTCATTTATTATTATTTAATTGTTGCATTTAAAAAACTGCAGCAATCACCTTAAGACGCCTACCTCTAAGAGAAAAGCTAGGACTCTATGAGCCCATCCTCTCCTACCTTCTGCTTGAGGTCTCCATCATTCTGAAACCCCTTTATCATTTTCTTGTTTTCCTTTTATATGGTCTGACTGCATTTTCCTAAAGTATGCATTTTATAAAGTTGTTTTTACCTTTGTGAAAAATGTTTTATGTTCTATATATTCTTGTAAGATTCATTTTTCCCTTGTTGCAGTGTTAACATTCTTCTGGAATGTGTGTGTCTCCATGGTCCATTTGCTTTGACTACATTGGATCCCATCATGTGGCTTTACCACAGTTTATTCATATACACACTTTGGTGGGCACTTCAGCTTTTCTCTTTGGCTTTTACAAAAGATGAAATTATAAACATTCTTGTTCATTTTTGTACTCTTGTAGTACATGTGCAGCAAATTATCTTGTATATTTAAGAATATAATTACTAGAAAATATATATGTCCAATTTTATAGTACAGATTTTTCAGAAGTATCTATACTGATTTTTACTTCTACAAATTATATGCAAAGATCCCATCTATCCCTGTAGTCACAATACTTGATATAGGGAGACTTTAATTTTTGCCAATCATATGTTTATAAAATATGTCTGATTGATGTGATTGCAGTCACTAATGATAATGTACATTTCTCCTGGGTTTGCTCCTTGGTAAAGTGTCGGTTGTTCATTTTTCTCGAGTTAATCGTGCTTTTTTCTCAATCTGTATGAGCTGTCCTTCGTAAATACCCAGCGTTTGTTGGTCATGTATAAGAAATACAGTTTGTAATTAGGCTTTCCCCCTTGTTTTAGATTTGTAGCTAATACTGTTCTTTCTATGGCACTCAACATTGTTATCACTAAAAACTAACCTTTCTTAAAAACCAAAAATTGAGGTTGAATTTTTACTACATCACATCATCAGTGTCCTGGGGATCTTAGATGCTGAAGATAGAGGATGAGGAGTTCTTATCTCATTCCTCTAGTTGCCCATTGTGTAGGGTTGGCATGGGGAGATGGATAAGCTATTTTATGTAGAATTTTATACCCTATATGCAGTAATTTATAAACATTCATATCTGTGAACTAGTGAACTCCATTTTATAGTTAACTTTCAAGTCAATGTTGGCTGAACAGTGAAGTGATTCTTAAGGTGAGCATCTTCTAACTTGAGCATTCTTTTTTTCCTCAATTTTACTGAAATAAACACCAGGTGTCTTATTCATTCTTGCATCTACTCAGCTACTCAGCAAGGCAGTAAGACTCCCCAACACAGAGGTGTATGCTATGTATTTTATACAAATAATTCAAACCTCAAAGAATACCTTTAAATGACTGCCAAAATATAAAAATAACAAACATAATTTTTCTTGATTTATATTTTTAAAAGACCTGTCATCTGTTAAGAAGGAAGGAAATGCCAAGAGATAGCCATCATGTGACAAAAATCTCTAAAAGATTCAGGTGAAGTGACGTCACGAAAGTCTTCACCAGCAATGTTCAACTCTTATCATAATAGTCTTTTGCTTTTCTGTCTTTGCAGTATAATAGTAAGCAGATTGCTCCTCCCAGTAGTGCCCTTCAGAGCCAAAGTGGTCACAGACCATACAGATAATTTTTTTTTCTCTAGCTCACTGAGCTAAATTAGATCATTACCTGATTTGTAATACCTGGTTTTCCTCATTGCAGCTCATATAGAATGCATGATATTTACCCATGAATGTGGATTCACAATTATTTTCTTGGTGGACTATGTAAAATATCTTTCTGTTGGTTTATTTCAGAGAACGTTACTTTGTCTTTGATTCCTTTCTCCTTTGTGTGTGTGTGTTTAGTTAACTTGAATGATTGTTATAACGAGTTGTGTATCTTTGCTTTGGAGGGAATTTTTGACCTATTGACATTAAGAGCGTCTTCCTCTTTCAGTAGGACTGGTCTATGGAGGATGGAAACTTTATGGCATTCTACTGGATTTTTCAGTACACAACTCTACTGCCATGGAGTAGTATAATTGCATTTGCAGTGGCAAGAACATGATGGTGTCCTTGTATTCTCCTATTTAGAAATTAAATCTCCTTCAGTTATGTCCATTTTGGGTGTTGAACTACTGCCAGGCTGTATTTTCTTATGCTGTGCATGTTCACAAGGACCCAATTCCACACCCTGTTGTGCTTCTGTCTGAATACTAAATTACAAGGGCATTTTCCTAAGTTACATTTCAGGATCCCTTCACACTTAAAAGTCTTCTGAAGCATAAGCCTGCCCTGAGACATATTATATATTGTTCTGGGCTATAATTTATCCCCTGCATCCTGTCACTATGTGCCTAGTGAGTACACACATCACACACCGACCCACACATTCTTTGTCTTCCTGTTTAACTTTATTTTGGTCCTTGGCAATTTGTACTTCCTGCCCACAAACCCAAACTAAGAGTTGAAATGCTAATCTTAAAAATTCCTAGACCTTCTGTACATCAATAATCTGTCTTATTTTAAAAGCCAGCCCTTTCAGGAAAGAGTCTAGGCAAATTAAGTGAAATTATTGATTTAATTTTAATTCTTTCAGTCCTCACAGGCATTAAGCTCCCACCTATCCTAGAATTTGTTTTTAAACAGATTTCTGAAGGTAACTTCTTTAATATCTGCTCAGGTATTTAATACTTGGAGTTCGGAGTTCCTGTAGTCTGTTTAAAGTAAAATGCAGTTGCCACACCTTAAAACAGCCTTATAACTTGTTTTGTTTCTATTTACTAATAATTTACATTCACTGTAAGCTATCCTAAGGGACTTGTCTATAAATGACAAGTCATATATTCTGTGATACTGAATTTCATACACTATTTCATATTTCTTTGGAAGATAACTGCTTCATTGGTCTGTTATCATTCAGGAATCAATATCAGTAATCTGTTTTTTAAAAGACTTGTTTATTTATGCATACAAGAACTGGGGTACGGGCCAGAAGTGTGGGAGTGGTAAGAAGATTCACTATAGACAGAGTGGGAACAGAACAGGTGGATCTCCTGAAATACACTGCTGAGGGGAGAAGCGGGCAAGACAGGAGAGATCTGCTGCACCACATGGGTCACCTCAGTGGCTGGGGATCAAACGTGTGCTGCAGTGGCTTTGGATTGCTTCATAGTGCTGCACTTAAACCTTTGCACCACCAGGGAGGGCCCAGTATCAGTAATCTATTGATAACTAGCTATGAATCAGAAACACTGTAACACCATTTTCAACATTATTTTCTTTTTTTTTTTAAAGATTTATTTATTTGTACATACAGAACTGGGGTACAGGCCAGAGGCTCAGGGGCGGTGAGAGGCTTCACCAGAGACAGAGCAGGGAGCAGAACAGGCAGATCGACGAAGTACACTGCTGAGGGGAGCAGCGGGCGGGTCAGGAGAGGTCTGCCACGCCATGTGGTCACCTCCGGGGCAGGCGGGAATCGAACTCATGCCAAGTGGCTTAAGCTTCTTAGTGCTGTGCTTTAACCCGCTGCGCCACCAGGGAGGGCCCTCAGCATTATTTTTTTAAGAAAGCATTAACTCTAGGAAAATAGTTTTGTTTTTGTTTTTGTTTTTTAAGATTTATTTATTTGTGCATACAGAACTCGGGTATAGGCCAGAGGCTCAGGGGCGACAAGAGGCTTCACCATCGACAGAATGGGGAGCAGTATAGGCAGATTGACGAAGTACACTGCTGAGGGGAGCAGTGGGCGGGTCAGGAGAGGTCTGCCACTCCATGTGGTCACCTCGGGGGCAGGCGGGAATCGAACTCATGCGGAAGTGGCTTTAGCTTCTCAGTGCTGTGCTTTAACCTGCTGTGCCACCAGGGAGGGCTGGAAAATAGGTTCTTAAATGAGGAGCTCCATACCATTCTGTAAAGCTAGTGATCAAAAGTAGAACCCTATTTGAAAATACCATGAAATGTTGTGCATTTCTGAATCAAGCTGAAATTGGAATATGACTAATTACTAGTGTCTTCCTAACCACTGATAGCCCTTCCTGTTCCAGTACACAGCTTTAGCCATTTTGGGCCAAAGGGATTTTGGGAGTATGGTAATCCCGGTTTCCTACGCTGCTGACTTATTTTGCCCATTCCTGACCCACAGAGTTGCAAAGGAAAACTCTTGCTCATGATATTACATAAGCATTCCAGTGGGAAAGCCCATTATTTACCCTAGTAGCTGGAACTCCAAAGAAGGATAACTTGGTGTTTACTAAAGGCAATTCCAGAGTGTTGTAAATTTCCACTAGTGCTACTGTCCTTCCTCCCTGCTCTTCTTGGATGCATTTGTCTACAAGGGAATCCAAAAGGGAATTCTTCCCTTCAGTTGACTTTCCCCCCTTCAGCTTTGCAGTTCAGATACATTAACTCTTCGGTATTCTAAGAGTATTGAGCTGTTCTATAGATTAAGGGATTTGGGGTTCCATTGTTCCATAGACTTTACAGCTGGCCTTTTGTTTTAGAGGGAGTTGTATAAACTCCTTGAAAGCCATATGGAAGAGCTAGTATTTGTTTAAAAATAGCCTAGCCTGAATTCTCTAAGCTTTTGATGTCATGCAAATGGTTAGATTCCCTTTGCTACTACTTACCATTGTTCTCCAGTTCTTGCTTGGCCCACTTTTCCCCTGACTTCTTCCTTGATCAAATGTGAACGGACAGATTAAAACAAACAAACCAAAACCAACCACTTTAAAAGGAAACATCCTTCTGGTATTCTTGCTGGCTTAAATTATCATTTATAGCAAGGCACTGTTGTCTGCTGATTTGTTTGTAAAGGTGGTATAGTGTGTTGAACACCTGTCTTTAACAAGAGCTATTACCTTAGAGCTGAACTCCTTTTGAACATTATATGGTGTTGTCTTAACCTGGTCTTTTCTCCATAGCTTCATGGTATTCTTGTACACACTAGATAGTCAATGTATTTTTTTTTCTTCTGTTAAACTGGATTGGTTTGGTAAAATAGAGGTGCTGAGGGCCTCTTTGCTGGCTCAGGGGTTCAGGCTCTGTGATATCACGTTATTACCGCTACTGCCTGAGTTCTATCCTCTGCCAAGGAGCTAACCCAGACAGCATGGCAGACCTCTCCTGTCTCACCCGCTGCTCCCCCTCAACAGTGTATTTCAGTAGATCTGCCAGTTCTGCCCCCCCACCCTGTCTCTGGTGAATCCTCTCACCCTCTGCACCTCTGTGACCTACACTCCAGTTTTTGTATGCATAAATAAATTTTAAAAGTTATTTAAAAAAAAGAATTTAGGTGCTCAGTAAATGTGTTTGTTTCTATTTTTCTTACAGATCTCTTGTTCCCTATTGATATTTCCTTGGTAAAGAGAGAACACGATTTTTTGGACAGAGATGCCATTGAAGCTTTATGCAGGTAAATGAAATATTTTGAGTATTTTTCTTTTCCTTTTTTAATAACACGTTATTTATCTGAGATGTTTTTTGTTTACTTTTGTCCCATCTAATTATGGTGAGTCTTTGATTAGTAAATGCAAATAGTGATTTACCTCATTATAAATCATAGCCCTTTCAATTAAAATAAGCAAAGTCTTGTTACGTAGTATTAGTGTTAAAATGGCACTGTTCCAGGAGGAACTCAAATAGTACCATTTCATATTTTCTGTCATATGACTTGCTGAAACAGATAGCGTTCAGATGGTCTGAAAATTGAAATGGGGATTATTTAAAAAAAAAAAAAAAACAGTGTTACAGCCCCAACCAAATAACACCACACCACGAAAGCTGCTGTTATGATGAATAAAAAAATACTTAAGAGAAGTAAGTGGGTGAGGAGTAATTGCCTTATTAAGAGCAAAGAGGCTCACTATTTGGTTCCAGGGAAAAACACCTGAACCTCTTCAGTGTTTCCAGTTACAAATAGTAACAATAGGATGAAATAAGACTATAAAACAACTGAGCACTGCCACAGACTTACAGTAGACAGGCAGTAAATGAACACTGAGCTGAAATGCAAATAAAACTGTCAGAATTCCCTGTTCATTGTACTGGTGATCTTTAGGCTGAGGAGCAGCTGGTGATGGAGTCGAGGAAATAAAACATGTAGCTCACAATGACGGGATAAACTTCCTGACATTTTTATTCATTTTAAGTTACTTGTCCTTTGTAATGGTTCTCAAAATATACAACCCATAAAAGGGGAACTCGGGGAGGGGTTGGCAGTGGATAGACACAGACAACATTCACATGTTGGTGTGACTGTGAAATTAAAATAAATGTTCTTTTAATTTAGTATTTATTTTAACATGAAAAAACATGAAGGTGAAATGGCACCAAGTCTTTATTTCTACTTTCTAAGCAGAGAAAGCAGTGGGGGCTCAATGAAATTAGTCTGTTTTGCCTGCTGATGTAAATACAGTGTTGTAATAATACGATCAACAAACTTACATGGTGTTTGTAGGGAAATAGGTGGGCTGTTGGTGTGTGGAGTAGACTATCTCACGTGATTAAAACTAAAAAAAGTACCCTGCTGCTTTTCAAATCCAGTTAAATGAGCTCTTAGAGATGTTTACAGTATGTTCACATTTGCTGTAAGAAACCCAGTTCCAATTCTAGCACTGTAGTGCATAATATCATAGCTATGTCATCTGGAATAAGAAAAAAATGTCACTGATGCCATTTTGGAGGGAAGAAGTCTTGCAACATCTGGAATATAAACTGCTCCAGACATTTTCAAAATATTTTAATGCTTAGCTGTGAGGCAGAATTTTTCTTTCCTATTCATCATTGGTGATAACGCATATAAATGAGCTCACTAGTAAGATGTATCCTAGGAAATATTTACAAATTGCGTCAGATGTTCTGTTTCACACATTTTGAGCCACTGGGTGAGTGGACCCCTGGAACAGCAGCAACAGCTTAGGAATTCCTGCACCATAAAATAGCACTGCAATGTTGCAAGCCAAAGGCTTGAATTTGTTGGTTTTTTTTTTGAACGCCAGTTTGAAATTTAGCTTCTGTGCTTGGAGGGGAAGGGCGGCCTTTGCTCCTTGTAATCTCCAGTGGCCATCGGCACCATCGGAGTAACCAGCTCCCTTGAAAGAAATAAATTGGTGTGCTTGGTTGAATCTTTTGTGAAAACAAAATCTTAAAACAACTGGACCATCTTCTTGAGGGGGCTCCAGTTTTCTCTGATGCACAGCCTAATTAATATCTCCTAAGTTAAGTGTAAGAAGAAAAGGCAGTGATGGATGGCAAAGCACTTTTAAAATGGAAGCCACTTGAGTATGTGGAGAAAGACTTCAGGTTGGGTTTCTTTCTGATAAAAGTCCGCAGAATTCACAGAACAGTCGTGAACATGCTTGTAGTGGAAACCCCAAGGGCTTGTCCACACATTCACATAAAAAACTTTTCCTTGGTGGAAAATGATTCGCCTTTGAAGAGATCCAGAAGAAAGGACAGGAGCCTTCTATAGTACATTTCAAGTGACCTTCCTTTGAAATGCGCGGTCCACAGAGTAGTTGGGCAATACTTGTTTTCCTGACTGTATGATAGTCGTCTCATTTGCTAGACTAACCTGTACCATCTGCCTCCTCGGCTCACAGAATTCTAGAGTCAGCAAATCAGAAAGCTACAGTGTCCGCCAAAATTTGCCTTGTGATTTGTGAAGTTTTTTCCAAACTGACAAGCTTTTTTTTAGACTTCCCCTTTCACCATATGGAAATATTTTGAGCAGTTGATGTTAAATATATGTGGTAATATAGTTACAGAAACTCAGTTGGAAAGTTTTACTTTAATAAAATCTTATTAAATACTTAATTCAATATTTTTACTTCAAATACATTAAAATTTATTGAAGTAAATAATTCTTAAACAATTTCTCTTTCCTGTCACCACCTCCCCAACACAAACACCCATGGGTGTCACTGAGTGCTCCTCTGTACACTTTTGTGTTCCATATAAAGACTTATTTTAAATTTTTGTATGCCTGTAACATTTGCAGATTCTACACAACTCCTTTTGTCAAAAATTGGTGGAAGCTGACCTGTTAATATATTCTACTTAGAGTATCAGACTTTTGTAAACTTAGGATATTTTTTCTGTTTTTAGAAAAAGGTCAAAGCTTTATGGTTACCAACACTCAGAATTATGAAATGGGTTGGGTTTTTTAAGGAATTGGATTGTTAGTCAACATTCTTACACTCAACACTAGTTAAGGGATTTGTGTATTTGTTTCCTTGGAGAGATTGGCTTTGGTCCCAGTCTTGCTAGCTTTTTTACTATATATTCCACCCCTGTGATAAGACCAAGACTATGAGTTACACTCACTGTTCATACTGGAGCAGTAATTCCACTTGTCTTGAAGCATACACAGATAGTAATGTAAACTGCGATCTACTGTTAGAAGATCTGTGAGATGTTTTTTGTCTCTCTCACTTCTGAAAACTCTTACATGTTGCTAAACCTCCTGGGAGTTAAAACTGACTCCTCCTATAAATATACCAAATAATTACATAAATAAGGTAATCATGGGATAATGATGTCCGCACTGTCATCTTCTGTGTGCCTACAATTGTAAAACAGCTCTTAAAATGCTTAAGCTATGTAAAGCTGCTTCCTTATAGTAAATTTAGTGGTGTTACTATTTCTGTTCTGTTAAAAGGTAGGCAAGTAATTTTTTAAAGCAAATGCAGTGATTCCAAAAAAATATCTTTAAAGATTGGAACCATTTGGTAAATATTTAACTTGGAAAATTGTTCCTGCTTCCTTTCTCTCCTTTGTGATTTTTCCCATTTTCCTTTTATAGAGGAGGAGACCCAGGTCTCTGCCTTTATCTGGGTTCTTGCAGCTCCCTGCAGCAAAGCTCTTGACCCTTGATAGCCCCTCCTTGTGCTCCCTCCCCCTCAGAGAGGGTACAAGTTGCCCAGCAGATAAGACTGACACATTCCTGTAGAGCTGAGTCCCTTGGGGGCCCTGGGGGAGGGGGCCAACCATGGCTTCAGGACAGACAGTGTCTAACACCCATCTGAGGAATCTCACTTAGGATATTAGCTGCTGCTATGTATTCCAACATTATCATAATATGTTTAAGTAAAAAATGCATAAGATGCTGTTTTTGAGTGCCACACCTTCCGTGTTTTAGTCTTGTATCCATCGACGAGATGTAGTACTTCTCCCGTTTCTGCATCATCAAATGAAAGTAAAGAGAACGTCTGTTACAGAGGGTTGTCGGTGGGCCAAGGCAGTGGGATTATTTAATGTCAGAACTGTTCCTCTCGGGTCAGATGCCACGTATGGGTAGTCTTTGGCGGTCTTGGGGGGAACCTTCTTGTACTTAAGCCCTGGAACAACTTTTGGACTCCAAAACTGAAATGCCACTAGCTTGGGCTACAAACATACAAAGATAATAATGTTGACCTTCATAAAGCTGGCCTTCTGGGTCCTTTTTGTTTGCCTCCAATCTAAAGTGAGTTCCTCTCCACCCCCCACAAGCCTCCATGCCTAGTAAACTTGATTATAAACACCACTCAACCATTAAAGTCCAAATGAAGTCAAGTGGATATTTGATTACAGGTATGATTAATGGAACTCAGACCTGAGACTAACTGTAACCATTCCAGATCTTTACATCTTGACAGTGTTTGAGAAGTCAAATACTGTGTGTCTAAGTTTGCGAAGAGTGTATGTCCCTTCTAGAAGGACCTTACATCCTCTCATTTTGAGGCTTTTGCATCGTGTCCTGTTTCCTTTTTGGTTATTTGTTTTCTTTCTCTTCCCCTCAACAAAATTTTCCTAAACATAAGCCTTCTGACTTATCTTTGTTTATACTATAAGCAGGCTACCACATAGCAAATGAAATCAAAGGCAGTCTTATCAGCAAGCAAAATACTTTCTATCCTAGTGCATCAAAGCTGTTAGACAAGTTGCAAGGACAGGATGCAAAGGGCGAAGCTGTGAAGAGGTCTTCTGGCTAGTTTGAATTGGTGTGAATGATGTGTTCCTATCCTGTGAAAATGGAAGAACTGCATTTGTGAGTGCAGTAGAAAGCAATATGTTAAAGGTTCATTTGTAGAAGACAACCATGATGATCATCTGGAAGATGTTAGAAAAAATTGGGGCCTGAAGGGCTGTCATTCACACTGTCACATACCATTTATTCCTGCATGTTTAAAATGTTTCTTTTTTTCTTCCCCCAGCTAGTTCATTATTTCCCAGTGATTTTTTTTTAGGCATTTTATTTTCAACAAAAATAATTATTTCCCCAGTTTTAAATTAATATTGCTGTTTGGCAGGGGTTAAAAAATATTCACAGTTAACACATGACTGCTGTTCCAAAGAAGAATCTGAACCAGTGGCTTATTTTTTGAACTCTGTAAGATTTTTATCCTTGAAGCTCTAGTAAACATGTTTAAAATAATTATTTGCACTATGGTTGTAACTATACCAAATGTTAGGCCATCCTAGACAGGAAGTTATAAAATAATTAGGTATTAAAGAGGGCTCAGATTTCTTTTCTGTACAAGGCTAAGATTTTTTTGGCAGATAACTAAAAATTGGGTTTTTCTTTCATCTAAACTTTGATTTGAGATAGAATATACTGTTCACTCAATTCCCTTGTTGTCCTTCTTTGTGTGAAAAAGCACTGGTTTTTATTTCTAGCCACTATGTGGAGATATGTAGTAGCTCTAGGAGAAGCAGATTTTCTCACTAAGTGTTGTTCATTTCTTTTTTTTTTAAAGATTTATTTATTTATGCATACAGAACTGGGATACAGATCTGAGGTTCAGGGAGTGAAAGGATTCATCTGGGGACAGAGTGGGGAATAAAACAGGCTGATCGACGGAAGTACACTGCTGAGGGGAGCAGCGGGCAGGTCAGGAGAGGCCTGCCACCCCATGCTGGGTCACCTCTCGGGCCGGGAATCGAACTCGCACTGAAGTGGCTGTGGCTCGCTTGCAGTGCTGCATCCTAACCCGTTGCACCACCAGGGAGGTCCTCGAGTGTTGTTTGTTTCATGAAGAGTAACGAGTACTGCACAGTGCTATCATAGTATGTCATCTTACTATAAAAAAGCAAATCGTAAAAAATAGTAAGTTTAGCTTACATTAAAAAATCTTGAGACATACAGTTTTTTTTTAATATAAAGACATTTTTAAATTACTTTTTAAAGGCTAAAAGAAACTCATGACATACGTAAATGGAAAAAATACATATTTATCCACTGATCAGTGGTTTCCTACTTTGTTAATGTTACGTCTTTCTTCTGTGTAGGCGTCTAAATACTTTAAACAAATGTGCGGTGATGAAACTGGAAATTAGTCCACACCGGAAGAGAGTAAGTATCTAAAATGTGTAATAATATGAAGGAAAGGGACAGGCCGAAAACTGGATGGTAGACTTTGATTCTCAAACTCTTCCTCCCAGAAACCCCTATGTTTTGAATGTTATAATCCAGGTATGTTTACCAAAGACTATAGCCTTGTGTAGTTGCAACTGGTACTTTAAGCCAGATAACAAATTATTTTTCCTACCGTGCATAAATCATCTATCATTTTGCTTCATTAATTCTATCTTCCATTTTTAAAGAGAAACAAGGCTTAAAACTGGATTTTATATTCACCATTCCCTATAGAAATTAAAGCTCTAGTTCTTTGGGATGACTCTGCCTTCCCATAAATAAATTTCAAAACTGTAGCGTTGGAAGGGAAGGCTGGCTGGTGAGAGATTGAAGAATACTGAGAGATTTGGAGGGAGGAAAGCAGTTGGGGGAGGGGGAGAGCAGGAAACCCCATACATTATGCATCAATGGCGGCACATAGCTGATGGATGGTATTTTCTTCTGCTGATAAAATGTAAGGCCTCTTAGGAGAAGAGGTGGGTGTAGCACTGGGAGTTAAGTGCCACAAATTAGAGTAAACAGGAATAAGTTTGGTCCACGAACATATGCCTGACTGTTCAGAGTACCAGTTTTAATTACCACACAGTTCCTGACCTACAGCCTGCCTCCTTGGGGGAGTTAAACCTTTTAAACAAATGAACTGGAACCTCAGTACCCACTGAGCTGAGGAGAGGAGTCTACATGGCCTCGTTAATGCTCTTTTCATTGTCCTGTGAAACTTAGGTCATGGGATACTTTCCACACCAGTGGGAAAGACATGCATCTGACTGAATTGTGCTTTTTGATATCCCGCCTACAAGGCTACAGCGTTCTGAGTCCTGCACATAAATCAGGCATAATCAGCAAAGATGTTACTGGTGTTTGGGAGTGTTATGTGCTGTCAGGACTGAGTTTGTGCAAAGCCTTGCTAAATTGCCTGGAGCACGTCTGAGGTTGAAACTTCACAGGACACTTGTAGCATTGGCTCTAGATCCAGTGTCTGGTGGGGGAAGGGATAGAAAAGAGCAGGTAAGACACCAAAAGTCTCAGAACAAAGAGAGGGGATGGAGTCCCTCGCATGGTGTCTCTCCATGCATCGGTTAGGTGAATTTGTTAACTGTGAGGTGGCTGGAGATTTCAATAACTACTCTTTAGTATTTGAAAACTGCCTTCTTAATTGCAAAAAGAGAATATAAACACATACTATCAACAGACAGCAAAATTAAAGGCAGACCAGAGGGAGTCCTACCCTTGCTGACTCCAGTGCAAAATATTTTGCATGCCTGGAATTTTCACAGATCTCAGAGGTTTCCATTGCGAGCATTTCAGGGACAGCTATATATCCCAGAAGTTTGCATAAAATGCCCCTTATTTAGCTTGCAACACTTGATCAAGGCTTTTTGCTGTTAAATTCTTTAAAGATATCTATTACTTTAATAAATCATAACAGACTAAAGATTAAAAGGGGAATAGCCACTGATGGGCTATTATGAGCAGCGCCCTGGGCAGAGACCCTCCCACAAGGCCTGCCCCTGCATCTGCTGATACTAGTGTATGACCGGTCCATTCTGTCCTTTGCAGAGTGAAGATTCAGATGAGGATGAGCCTTGTGCAATAAGTGACAAGTGGACTTTCCAGAGGGACAGCAAGAGGTGGTCCCGGCTTGAGGAATTTGATGTCTTTTTTCCAAAACAGGACCCAGTCCCAGGGTCCCCAGTGGATCCCCACCTGCAGAACGCCACGAGCCACGAAAGCATGCTGACCGACCTCAGTGAGCGCCAGGAGGTGGCTTCGGTCCGCAGCCTCAGCAGCACCAGCAGCCTCCCCACCCATGCGCCCCACAGCGGGGATGCAGCGACACCCCGCACCAACTCTGTCATTAGCGTCTGCTCCTCCAGCAACTTTGTAAGCAATGACGACTCCTTCTGTAGCCTGCCCTCTCCTAAGGAACTGTCCAGCTTCAGCTTCAGCATGAAAGGCCACGAGAAGAGCGCCAAGTCCAAGACGCGCAGTCTGCTGAAGCGCATGGAGAGTTTAAAGCTAAGGGGCTCTCACCATAGCAAGCACAAGGCACCCTCCAAGCTGGGGCTGATTATCAGTGGGCCAATCCTGCAGGAGGGGGTGGATGAGGAGAAACTAAAGCAGCTGAACTGCGTGGAGATATCCGCCCTCAATGGCAACCACATTAATGTCCCTATGGTACGGAAGAGGAGCGTTTCCAACTCCACGCAGACCAGCAGCAGCAGTAGCCAGTCAGAAACCAGCAGCGCCGTCAGCACACCCAGTCCTGTCACCAGGACCCGGAGCCTCAGTGCATGCAACAAGCGGGTGGGCATGTACTTAGAGGGCTTTGACCCCTTCAACCAAACAACCTTCAACAGTGTCGTGGAGCAGAACTTCAAGAACCGAGAGCGGTACCCAGAGGACACCGTGTTCTACATCCCAGAAGATCACAAGCCTGGGACCTTCCCCAAGGCCCTCTCCAATGGCAGTTTCTCTCCCTCAGGGAATAACAGCTCTGTGAATTGGAGGACTGGAAGCTTCCACGGTCCTGGCCACATCAGCCTGCGGAGGGAAAACAGTGACAGCCCCAAGGAACTTAAGAGACGTAATTCCTCAAGCTCCATGAGCAGCCGCCTGAGCATCTATGACAACGTGCCAGGCTCCCTCCTCTATTCCAGTTCAGGTGACTTGGCCGACCTGGAGAACGGGGACATCTTCCCTGAGCTGGATGACATTCTCTACCACGTGAAGGGGATGCAAAGGATCGTCAACCAGTGGTCAGAGAAGTTTTCAGATGAGGGAGATTCTGACTCTGCTCTGGACTCGGTCTCCCCGTGCCCGTCTTCTCCCAAACAGATCCACCTGGACGTGGACAACGACCGGGCCACACCCAGTGACCTGGACAGTACTGGCAATTCACTGAATGAACCAGAAGAGCCTTCAGACATCCCAGAGAGGCGGGATTCTGGTGTGGGTGCCTCCCTGACGAGGTCCAACAGGTAAAGGCTTTGCTTCTCTCTCTGCAGATCAGGGAGGCAGGATCCAGAAGCCTTTGCTGGTGAAAGGACCATAGGAGTAAGTGTGGCATACAGTGCCGTGACAGACCAGGGAGGAAGGTGACAGGCCAGAAAGTCCTAACATTCAAAATGAATGGCTTTCAGTTTGGGAAGGTGAAATAAATTTGCTTAGTGTGAGTGGTATAACTGTATATTTCAAAGTGGTTAAGATGGTAAATGTGAGGTTCTGTAGATCTTTTTAAGGCGTAGCAGGGGTGGAGAGTGGAATGTTGAATTCTCTCATAGCAGCCCTCTGCTAACTTTGTCTCTACCTGTTAAAGCCTTTCTATCACTCACTTTCGCCTACTCTTCTCTCACAGGCACAGACTGAGATGGCACAGTTTTCAGAGCTCTCATCGGCCGAGTTTGAACTCTGTATCCCTGCAAATCAACTGCCAGTCTGTGGCCCAGATGAACTTACTGCAGAAATATTCACTCCTCAAGTTAACCGCCCTGCTGGAGAAATACACGCCTTCTAATAAACATGGTTTTAGCTGGTAAGGGGTTAAACTATAACTGAAAATTGTTTCTTGAGGCTGTCCCAACACTGAGTATATGACAGTTCTGGCCTTTATTAATGTCTTCAGTCTGTCATGCTAATGCCAGTGGCCTCTGCATGCTTGGAACCACATCTGACACTGCTTCAGCCTCTGTAACTTCAGGGAGTTAGCAGCAGGATCAGTGAGTGTCCAGCTCTTTGTGGACACATCACAATTTGCATTCCTTTTCATCCCACTGTATAGGTGCCCACCATAGCTCAGGTGTCAGGTCATATTGTTACAGGGCAACCCACTGTGAACTGGGTTACCTGTCTGTGGGTCCACACCTGTGTGTTTAAAATTCAGTTATACTGCGGACACACACAGAAAGGGTCAATAATGGGTTTATTTACAAAGGGGAAAGGAAAAGGTACAGCCCAGGGAAAGAGCGAAAGAGAACTAGATACAAGTTTAGTAGAACATCCTACCAGTTCCACTGACTTGGAACTGAAAGCTCATCAAGAGCCAAGTGACCAGCCACCAGCCACGCGTTCCAAAGAGAGGGAGAGTGTCTCACGTGGTTCCCTTATATACCCCCAAGAGTCCCAGGATGCCTGCTTGGCTCTGCCCTTGGGTCCTCGCAGTTCTCTCTATGGTATTGCTGGGAATTGTAGTTTACTGGAGCAGGGGGTGGAGTCCATAAAACTGGAATAGGGGTGGAGTCCACAAAATTCTGCAGAGTTCCTTCAGGACATCCTTTTCCCCCTAACAGTATTGATAGAAAGCAGAAAAGAAAAACATTAGTTCATAAGACGTTGTAAGACTAATTTTGAAATGCTTGATTGATGGTACCTGGTTTTGCAGCCCTGCTCACATGTTTTTCAAAATCATTTTGGATGTGGGTATAAGCAGCATCACTCAAAAATCTACCCAACAAAAGTCAAACACTGAACAATATACTTAAGGAATTCATTACTCTGAGACACAGACTAAAATAGTCATGAAGATTATAAAATGTACTAGATAATTGTTTATGATGATTTTTTCAAATTGCAGCCATGGGTGTATTTAGGGGCCATGTAGGCTGCTAGGTTGGGTAGCTATGACCTCATATCTCTGTATCTTAATTTTTTTTCTGTCAGCACAAAACAGAGAGATATCTCTAGATTGATACCTAGCGCAGTTCACAGTGGCAGCACTCATCGAGTGTTTATTATCCAATTGCATAATCATTCCTTATAAAAACAGAGGAGCAGCCCATTTGATTAGCGACGCTCTGTAACAAGCCAGAGTTGCTTGAGAGACTCTCCAAGTAACGTAACAGTTCCTTCTCTCTGCAGCTCCTCCTCTCCTCAGGACTCATAGTGAGTTTAACTTCAGCATCAAAGCGTCTCCTGTTCAAAGGCTGTTATTATGTGAGCCATGCTAAATACAGAAGTTGTTTGTTCTGAATGACAGAAATAAGTATTGACCGGTTTCTCCGCACATGCTTCAGATTCTCAGTAGAGATCGTAATGTGTTCTTTGCACATTCCGCCGCTGGGCATTTCCCCACCGACAAAGCAAGTATTATGCACACTTATAGGCGTGATACCATATACTTAGCTGTATGGAAATACAAATTTGGCTCCACGCTTTAGTTTTACCTTTCCTGGAACTATAAACAGTAACTTGTCGTGGCTATTGGTAAGCACACAAGTGAAAGCTGTCTGTCTTCTGCAGTGTTCCTCTGGTCTTAGAGTCTTATTTTCCCTGTTGGTTATTTAAAACTGCATATTTTACATTCTCCTTTCTGAGTTACCCACCAAACCCTCAAAAATCCTAAAGTCCGTAATACTTTTTGAGTTCTGGTCAGTTTCTCCAGTGAGTCAAAACCAAATGTAAAAGCCTCACATTGTGGGATCCTTGGCATAGGAAGAAATTCTGCATGAAGTCTTTTCCTGTTCGGCCTTGCCCTTTCTTGTCCCATTCAGAGAGGTCATTTGTAGAGCTGAAATTTCTGCTTGACAGCATTAAATGCATGACATGGGTTTCCTGCTGTTGCATATACTGCTGGGGCTGGACCTGTTTGTGGACTCCAGGGAGCCTGGGGCAGGCTGACAAAACCCTCATTGTTCTTTACCATCCTCCTTTAGAAACCTAAAGATGTTATATTCTTCAGGGGTCATCAGCAGGAGAATTTATTTTGACTTGGGGCCATTCAGCTCTGCTTTCACTATGGAGCCATGAAGTTGGTTCTGATAATGTTGAAGCAACAGTGTGAATTTTCTCTTTGCTCATCCAGCATTACCTGATCTTCTTTATCCTAAATACTTTGTATCTCATGAACGGCTTAGAATTCTTATCCTTTCTCAGGTCAAATGGGATCTTGTTTTTCTAAGTCTGCCATGAAGCACTTGATTAGGGTCTTTCTTGCTTGTTGCTTTCTGCTTCTATTCCTTCCTCTGCTGCCATTTTGTAAGGAAGTCCATCAGCTCCCTTAAGAACGGAGACCTTGTTCCCAGGGCTAACAGGGAAGGAGAATCCCAAACTGAGGAAATACAGCCACAAGATATACATATAACACTCAGTGATGGAATGCTCTGTGATGGTGTAAATGTTTTAGATAAGCACTTTCTGGTAACTGGCCACAAATGGCTGGTGAACATTTGAAATGTGGTTAGGGAAACTGAGAAAATGAATTTTCAATTTTATTTAAATAGCCACTCCCTTAGCACAGATCTAGAACCCAAAGGGTTTCCCCACAGAGATTGTCAAGTATAGACAAATAAACACATATTACTCCCTCCACCCCCACATTCTTTTTGAAATAGGGCTGTGCCCAAATTCATGAAAAGGATCAAGGTTCCAGACTACAAGGACCGAAATGTGTTCGGGGTCCCTCTACCGGTCAACGTGCAGCGCACGGGTCAGCCCCTACCCCAGAGCATTCAGCAGGCCATGCGCTACCTTCGCAACCACTGTTTGGATCAGGTGAGAGACCCAGCCTCAGGGCTGCACTTAGTCCTGGGAGCCCAGATGCTTCTTTTTAGAGTTTTGTAGTGACAATGTTGCTTCCATTCGACCCTTACTGGTTTTCTTCCAACAGGTTGGGCTTTTCCGAAAATCAGGTGTAAAATCCCGAATTCAGGCTCTACGCCAAATGAATGAAAGTGCCGTAGACTGTGTCAGCTACGAGGGGCAGTCTGCTTACGATGTGGCAGACATGTTGAAGCAGTATTTTCGAGATCTTCCTGAGCCACTAATGACAAACAAACTCTCAGAAACCTTCCTCCAGATCTACCAGTGTAAGTATTCTTGGAACTTCCTCAGATGATGACCATTTGGAAACAGATGTCATCAGTTTCTTTCTTGCCCCTCTGTTTGTGGGACAGGTTTCTGTATACTTCTTGAAAATTAAAAAATAAATGTCCCAATCACTGTCCTCTAATTACCAAAGCAGTTGTACATTTCTACATTCTGACCCAGGAGCTCATTCTTTAATTCTTTTCTAAAACAGTATTGCGTACGATGCTCAAAAGAGCAGGTGCCAAACTTTGCCCTCCGCCCTGGCCATGGGAATCTCAGTTGTTTCACATCTCTGCAGCAGGACCGACCATGTTTAAAATTTCACAGGTGTCTTGTGTGTTTTATCTTGATGTAAAAGGAATAAATAGTCTTTTTCTGTTCTACATCTCAGCTTCTTCCAGAAATTCTGGGGGAAACAATACTCATGCCTTTCTCACTTTTAAGTAAAGCTTAAAGCAAACAGTTGTCTGAATTAATGATCAAGATCAGGATTATAGCTTTTACAGCGTTTTGTTTTTCTTGGCCGAGTGTGGTATTACAGCAGTGTAATTTAACAGCAGCTTGTCTTAGTGCTCAAATTGTCTTTAGAACTGGCACAGTGGACTTTATTTTATGAGAAATGGAGTTGGTCTGGATTATTTCATTATTTGTTTCATCCTTTCATATTTTATGAAAACACAGGTCACATTTTCCCCACCGAGGTATGTGTTATGCATTGTAACCATGGAGCTGTTTAATCAGTTTGTCCTATGGAGCTGCATTTAAGTGACTTGATTTTTCCACCACATGCCTTTTAAAAGAAGGATGTGTCTAGTAAAGGAGAACTAAAGACTAGATCCAGGGTTTCCTACCTTATTTTATATATTTTTATAATAGCTTCTCAGTATGCTTTCTTAAACTTAAAAAAAAAAAATTATTAGTTAAACATACCTGTTTGAATTCACTAGTTTAGCTTCCTTTTCAAACTATTTCAAGAATGAGCACATCAGTTAAAAATCATAGAAGCTGCCAGAGTTACCAAAGAGTTTGTAGTCAAAAACTAAGAGATCTCAGTTCTTACTCTCTTGCTTACATCTTCCATAAGATTTTTTTTTTCAGTGAAATTAAGCAAATATGGAAGTTTGAAGTGTTTTCAGTAATTGAGAACAGGATTTCTAAGACTTACTTAGAAAAGAAAAACTTATGTAAAATGAAGGAAGCAGGTATCATCTGGAGTTAAACTCTGAAGTAGACTTAGGTGTATATTGGCATTGTAGGTGTTTCAGATTTTTTAGCTCCTCCACAGGCAGGAAATACTTGAGAGTAGTCACGCTCTCTCGATTAGTGGCAATCCCTAATTTCTTCCATACTAATCTCAAGTACACTTTCTGCAAGTGCTTGTTCAGTATCGGGCTGAGGTCTTTGATGCCGCTATTTGCTTTGGGACATTTCCTCACAATGTACATGGAAAATCACCAAGTTGATGGGGAAATGCTCGTGTCATGCAGATGTGCCCAAGGACCAGCGCCTCCAGGCCATCAAGGCCGCCATTATGCTCCTGCCTGATGAGAATCGGGAGGTTCTGCAGACGCTCCTTTACTTCCTGAGCGATGTCACAGCTGCTGTGAAAGAGAACCAGATGACGCCGACCAACCTGGCCGTGTGCCTAGCGCCTTCCCTCTTCCACCTCAACACCCTGAAGAGAGAGAATTCTTCTCCGAGGTATGGGTCAGATGAAGGGCACATGTTTCCTTCCGTCTAGAGTTGTCTCTGTTTTTATTGGATTACCTGAATTTAAAAAAGGGGGTTGTGAGTTCCTTCACAGTTCATGCACTCCCTTCTCCATGCTGCACCCCCCCCCACTTTCTTCTCAGCCCCAAGTGACTTCCTGGGTGATCTAGTGACAACCAGGTATGGAGAGATTTGGACTCCTACTTTGCATGGGAAGTGCTCCTCAGTGCCCTCGAGGTGCCCTGGCATACTGTGCCAGTAAGCAGTACGCTGTTTATTCACCTAAAAGCTGGGTGGGGAGTACAAACCCCACTGCATTGGCCTCTCCAGGGTCAGTGGGGCCCAGCTCCTGGCCTGTGCCGGAATTTGAAAGGAAGAAGCTGGGTTTAAACGAACTAAGGATGGGGCCCTCCCTGGTGGCGCAGAGGTTTTAAGTGCAGCACTATGAAGCAATCCAAAGCCACTGCAGCACATGTCTGATCCCCAGCTACTGAGGTGACCCACATGGTGCAGCAGATCTCTCCTATCCTGCCCACTGCGCCCCTCAGCAGTGTATTTCAGTGGATCCACCTGTTCTGCTCCCCACTCTGTCTATGGTGAATCTTCTTACTTCCCACACCTCTGGCCTGTACCCCAGTTCTGTATGTATAAGTAAATAAGTCTTAAAAAAAATAAAAGAACTAAGGATGATGTGAACCTCAAAGTTAGGATCTGGCCTAAGTCAGTTGTTGGCTATGTTTCCCCTTAAACTCATACAAGGCAGGGGTGAGTGTAGTCAGTGAATGTGGAAAGTTAGCTCAGCACTCACTCTCCCAGGCACAGCCCACCTAGTTGCCATTCACTCTCTTGTTTAATCCTCCTAACAATCAAGAGGCGAAGATACTCTCAGTAGCCCTGAGTATTTACAAATGAGAACAAGAGGCTACAGTGAAGATCATTTGAGTAACTGACTTGCCTGAGTCTGACTTGACTAACTTGCCTGACAGGAAGAAATGGCAGAACCAATTAGTATCTCTTACTTATAGGAGTATTTAATTCATGAAAAATCCACCAGTAAAGCTAGTAAGAAAGAAGCCACTGGCATCAGCCATCACTTTTCATTCTCTAGTATGTCCAGACGGTTCCTTTTCCAAGTCTCTGTAGAACTTGACAAAAATTTCTTAACTGGAGGGACTAGTTATGCTAGTTGAAGTTGGTTTTGTCTCTGAAAGTCATACAATGCTCAGATATCCAAATATCCTTTTATCTAGTTCTAATCATTCACTGAGCTTTCTAACCTTAATGGGAGAGAGAGAGACAGACAGACGGAGAAGAGAAAGAGAGAGAGAGATCTGATAAGATTAAGATAAAGCTTCTAAGAAACAATAGGTTTTTTTTTTTCTTCCCCTCACCTTAGGGAGGAGAAGATCTGTTTATTTAAACTGGAAGGGATAAAACAGTGATATTATTTACCCCAACTGCCAGTACCTCCTATCCAGGTACCCCTCAAATCTGCCTTGTTACTCCCCATCACGTATATATACATATATGCTTTACAAGTGGCCCTATTTAAAGCTGCCCTATTCAATGGCTTTAAATAACTCAAATTTCATTGAAAATACTCTTTCATGTTTTGCTGTGCCTTGTAGATAAAACTGAGAAATACTAGTGACCAAAGTAAAACTCTTGAACCACTTAATGACAAATGGGGTCTAGTGAAATGTTTTTCTCTCTCCTTTGCTTTTCCTCAAGTAACACATTTAAATAATATATAAATAAATTTGAACCTTTCCTCTACCTTATCACTTCTGCCTAGGGTAATGCAAAGAAAACAAAGTTTGGGCAAACCAGATCAGAAGGATTTGAATGAAAACCTTGCTGCAACTCAAGGACTGGCCCACATGATTGCAGAATGTAAGAAGCTTTTCCAGGTAAGAAGTCGGCAAGTCTTGTTATTTGTTAAGGATCATGTGAATATGAACAAAAATCTGAAGTGCAACATTTGTTTGTGCCTTACGAAAGACTTTTCTGCAGCTAGAGATTACATATACATAAGAGGTAAAAATGGCTTTTTTAATAGATACATTATCCTATAAAGTTCATTAGAAGTAATCTATTTAATGAAATTACCTGCTTTTATGCCCTTTTACTTCAAAAGCAAAAGCAACAAATCAAAGCTAAATTCTGTATCTGAAAAACCTGTTTTCATTAGTTGTAAGCTCTATATTTAGTCATGTGACCTCCTGTTGTAACCTTCAAAAGATTACACATTTGATAGCTTCGTGAAGGTGATACGTTTTTATTCTGATAACCTGTGAGCCTGGCAGTACCCTACTCTGGAAACAGTGATTGGACTGCCTGTGTCACCTTGAGTTTTCTGGGCCACAGCACAGAGGACAAGCAGACTAACTTTTTGTCACTCACATCCCTCTCAGGTTCCTGAGGAAATGAGCCGATGCCGGAATTCCTATACTGAGCAAGAGCTGAAGCCCCTCACTCTAGAAGCCTTGGGACGCCTGCATAATGATGAGTCAGCAGACTACCAACACTTCTTGCAGGACTGTGTGGACAGCCTGTTTAAAGAAGTCAAAGAGAAGTTTAAAGGCTGGGTCAGCTACTCTACTTCTGAGCAAGCTGAACTGTCCTATAAGAAAGTAAGTCTTGGTCAGGTAAAACCAAGTAATATGCAATATGGATGGGGAGGTAGGAACACAAATGGGAGTAGATACAGTGGGCTGTAGTGCAAGGCTGTTGTGGTAGGTGTGGTGTGGTGATCCTATTCCTTTGAGTCACATGCAGTAAACCAGTGTGACCTGAATTTAAAAAAAAAAAAAAAGGCAAGTCTTCTCCTTGTAGTCAGCCAGAATGGGTTCTCTAGAGACAAACCCCTCTGGCAACACAACTCTGGGGAACTGTCACCTTCCTTGTGGACCTGGCAGCCCCAGGAGCCAGATGTCCCAGGTGAGCTCGGGCAGAAACTGGTCCGGTGAGGAATAACTGGTCTGACACTTCAGGAGCAATCATATTAGCATTTGAAATTATGGGGGTCTACAGAATCACATTAGCATTCCCTGGAATATGGTGATAATGATGTTGGGCTTTAGGGTATTTTATGAAATATTTAACATTTCCCATAACTTGGTCAGAATCCACTAGAACTCTTCTCTACTCTAGCCCTTGAATAAAATTGAGAATGTGGGAGGAGAAATTAACTTATTAGGACAGAAAGCCCCTTGAGGGCAGAGGTGTCTTACAAGGCTCAGCACAGTAGACCTAGAAAAGGTATCTACCACCTTGAAAAGAATAAATAGCGGTTTAGGCTTTGGAGTGCAAATACGTTATCTGACTTTGTTACATTGACCCTCATATGAGTCCCAGGACAACAAATGCAACAATTTTGACCCAAGGTGACACCAGCAGTTCTATTTACTTTCTGCCCTGCTGTTACATATACTCAGATCAGCAGTCTGTGGAGACTTAGGTGATTATAGCCTCTCACCTTGGGGCCATGTACCCAGCCTGTAGTTTGCTTTCAAGAGCTAGGTGTGTGGGAATTGTGTTAGCCTGAGCAATACATGCTCTTTTCAGGTGAGTGAGGGACCCCCACTGAGGCTTTGGAGGGCCACCATCGAAGTCCCTGCTGTGCCTGAGGAAGTGTTGAAGCGTCTCCTGAAAGAGCAGCACCTCTGGGATGTAGACCTACTGGATTCAAAAGTGATTGAAATCCTGGACAGCCAAACTGAAATTTACCAGTATGTCCTCAACAGCATGGCACCCCACCCTGCTCGGGACTACGTTGTTTTGAGGTGAGAACCTCCAAATTGATAATCGTGTAAGGACGAGTCTGTGTGTCCCTGAATCTTACAGGGTGGTACAATTCTTTAAAGTTGAATATATGTCTTCAGAGAAGCACAGAACCCTTCCAAATATGGAAAGAAATTGGCATTTGTTGCAACAGTGTGTTCATCCCTGAAAGCGGTTTGAACTCTTTTGGAATTGAGCTCAGAGAAAGAAGCACATTCAATTGCATATGCTCATTGGTAGCAGATTTTTGCCTCTTTTAAGAATAGATTTTCTTGTTAGAAACAGCTAGTGTTTCTAATGCATATGCCAGGAAATAACATTTGGGTCCCAAGTGAGCTGTGGTTAAGGATGATTTATGTGTAACTCATAAATTCTCTGGAGACATTACTGAATGAGGAATTCCCAAAATGTTTGAGGAAATATCACATCGTTAATCCAAAACTTCTTCAACAGAACAACCCTCATTTGAACGCCCATGTTCTAATCCATTTGTGAAATATAGAAATGGTTTTCAGTCATGCTTCATATTGGTTTTCTTTCTGTGTGTACCCACTGGAAAAGTGGTTCTCAACAGGGTTATTCATTCAGGACTCTTTGTGTGACTTCAGAGGCGTAGGACCACCCATCCCGCCCCTCAGCTGTCTCCCCTAAGAGTGAGGCTCTGTTTTAAATTGGGCTTGCAGGAAATTCCATTCCCCCCGACCCTGGTTTTGTCTCTACAGAACATGGAGGACTAACTTACCCAAGGGGGCGTGTGCCCTTTTACTCACCTCTGTGGACCATGACCGGGCACCTGTGGTGGGGGTGAGGGTCAACGTGCTCCTGTCCAGGTATCTCATCGAACCCTGCGGGACAGGGAAGTCCAAACTCACCTACATGTGCAGAGCTGACTTACGGTACGTTCCAGTCCTGATTTTTTGATATGGTGAGGGTCATGAAGCAGTGTCCTGTCGCTGAGCGGTGTGTGGACAGAATGGCTCTGCCATGGATTTAAAGCCACAGGAAATAGGAGTTTGAAGGAACACACAGACATTTCTCATTTTCTGTCCAGCATTGTTAAATGGCACATACACAAGTCTTACTAACAAGTTAGGTCTGTACTCTGTGCCATGTATTAGTATGTGTTTGTACCACATAATCAGTGAAACGCAGTGATGCAAACACAAAATGAATGTCTGAAATTTCTTTCCAAAGTGGCCCTCATGTTAAATCAATTCTCATTTGAAATATTTACACCTCGGCACTTCTTTAGGTATCTCTATGATCCCTTTTCACCACAGTTTTCACAGCTTTCATTATGCCATAGCTGTCCTTGAATAGTGCTATGGGATCTGCACCTGATATGTTTGTTGTTCCCAAGGGAGTCTGGTTCCCAGAATACAGTGGATGTGCCAGGAGATTACCTTGCGATAAAGGAAGTCATCTTTACTTACACATTTTGCTGATCAAGAAATGGAAGTGTGTTCAGAACTCCCTGTAGCTTATTTCCCTTGCCAACTTAAATAATTCATCTGCTCTTCCTTTATGGTATAGGGGCCACATGCCAGAGTGGTACACGAAATCTTTTGGACATTTGTGTGCAGCTGAAGTTGTCAAGATCCGAGACTCTTTCTGTACTCAGAACACTGAAGCCAAAGACAGCAAATCTAGGTGATTCCTGAAGCAAAGCCACTCTTCCAGTCCTCACGAGGATGGATTCTGCAGAAACAAAACTATAAGGTGGAGCCTAGGAACGGACCACAGAGATTTGATACATTTTTTTTAAAGCTGCTTCCTGTTTGTTTAAGGTTTATGTTATAGACCTTGACTGGAATTATATAAGACTGTGCAAAAGAAAAATGTATTCTTAATCGAATTGCTTCTGAGAAGCAAAATTCTATAAATACATTACAGAAGATAAATGAAGATACTTCATTCTCTTGAGATATTGGTGTATGTGTACCTACGTCATTTTATTTGCAGTGTGCTGAGGGACTGATGTATCCACTGGAATAGTTGGTACTCTGACAAGTTTTCTCACTGAGATGAGCAAAGAAAGGTTTGCACAGAGGAGTGTGTGTATGTGTGTTTGTTGCAGGTTGAGTGGCATAGATGGAGAAGTTGGAATGCAGTGGCTGGCACACTGAGACGCCTCCAAGAAGGGTATTGATGCATCAGATTCAGTTTAACCTGGAATATCTGACTACCCACGGATCCATCCAGAAAGAAATCCCAACACCATTGTCCGCTTATTGTTTTTTCCCACGTTACGGAGCATGTTCCCTTTCCACCAACCTCTCCTTTACCTTAAAAACAGTAAATATACTGGGGTGTCCCACTTCAGGTGCAGTTTGTCATTAGACCTGATTGCAAGTAGTAATGTCATTTTAACCAGCGTAGATGACTTCAGGGATGGAAACTGCCCTGCTTGACTAACTACAAGGTTTGATTTGATTTGATTTTAAATTGAAATGTAAAAGTAAAAACAGAAAAACATTTGCTCCTGAAGCAAGCATCCACAGTTTTTTCCTCACAGACTTCTTTCATGCCTATTAACAGTAACTCGGTAAGACACTGTACGGGAGCATAGGCCTCCATGTGTGTCCAGGAAAACCCTTGTAAGTGGAACCCCACCACAAAAGTTGTTTGTTATTAACAGCGTTTCTGAAAGCTGCATGTTTTAATTGGACTTGTCTTTATCCGCAAATGGGTTTCTGTTTTATGACTATAGAAATGTTTTTCCTATATTTCTTTTTCTTTTCCTTGAAAATGATGTCCTTGGAATATATTTTAGTGGCAGTGAAAAATAGTAACCACAGCTAATAGAAAAGAAGGAAAAACACCAGCACAGCTTTTTGGAGGGGTGGTCTTTATACAGGTTTTACTGTAAATGGAAAGACTGACTCAAGAGACAGTATTAGTGAATTTATTTTGTATGGATCAAAAGTGAGTAATGTATGAATGAGACTTGTAAGAAGGATTTTTATTTTGTTATAATTTAGTTACCATTGTCAGTGTTATTTCAAAGGTTCTTTGAAGAATGGGGGGGACAGATCAGAGTTTTAAAATTTGAGTATTTTGGATATCAGTGTTCTTCATGAAAATATACTTGTATATTCAATTTTAATGGCTTTCAGATTTGTAATATTATATGTTGTAGATACCATTCTATTAAGAAACATGTAAACATGCCCACTGTGCTTTCAAACCTAGATAAAGCATGATAAAGATTATTATTTAAAATATACTTGTATTTATACCTCAGATATTCTTTTGGGTTTTGTACCTCAAGGCTTTTTTTTTTCCCCTAATGTAAATACACTTTACGTGAATACAGTCTAAGTGAGAAAAAAATAAGAATAAAAGAAGAGGTTTATAATTTGCTCTTATATCTGTATAGAATATACTCACTAAGTGCACTATGAAATGGTTCAAGTAAGGGAAAAGCCTAGCCTGCTTTTCTTTGTATGGCATCTCACTCCTACCTTTAACCCACAGATTACAAAGCATATCATTCTAGCATCAACGAAAATAGGAAGAATTGGACTGCTAGTCATTCCAAGGCCAAACCGTGACTGAGCCATTCACTAATAAACAGGAAACTCTGGTGAAGGTTCAGGAAGCATGGAGATTCTCTCCAAACAAAGGTCGTTAGGAAATGGTGCTGAGAAAGTTACAAGAATAAGCAGCAGCAGCAGAAAGATGCTCTTAAGCAAAGCCAAGGTCACTGATTAATTCCACAAAGGGTCTCTTTCCCACTGTTGAGCTTTCCTGTTGAAAGGATTCCTTACATATTTGCCAAGAAGAGAATGCAAAGGATGTGAACATTGTCAAGAAACTCTGCTTAAGCTATCTAAAGTGATATTGCCACAACTTACTAATTGTGACTAATTGCCTAGATTGTAAGCTCTTTGAGGGCAGGGCTATTCCACACATCTTTATAATCCCCTACAGCAGCTTTCAGTGTTTTGTTCTTGTAGGCACCTAATAAATCTATTATTTGTTAAATGGAACTGACTGGATTACTTCTGTTATTTGAGAAATTCTAGAATACCATCTGTTTTGTGCCTTCCCTTGACTCATCATGGCCCATTTTGCAATTGTAGAAAATGGAGATGGTTAAATTTAATGGAATCTTAAAGTTTAAACTAGCAAAGGTGAAATAGATATTCTAACTGGATGCTAAAATAAAGGGCAGGGTGCCCTGTGATGGAATGTTAAACAGTCTCTCTTCACTGTGTGAACCCCAAACTCAAGGTTTTTTAAAATGACACAGACCAAAAGCCTTTTTTATTACTACTATCTCAGATCTAATTTCCTCAGTGCTATGTAAAATAAAGATTTAATTGTCTTTGGCCTGAGGTACTTGATTCTTTAGTGTTTTGAACTGTTCTGAAGTCATGAGTTAGTAGGATGGAGCAGACACAACCTTTGGATTGCTTTTGCCACAGGGTCTATTTCCTTACTCAACTAGTAGAATCAGTTGTCAGCACCTACTACATGCCTCTAACTCCAGTTCAAAAGACATAGCTAAAAGCAAGATAGACATTGCCCTGTCCTCATGGAATTATAACCGACTCATCAAGGTTAAAATAGAAATGATAGCATGTTAGTGAACTTCAAGTCAGGTTCCCGTGAACTCTAGGATTAAGATCTTAACAAAACTCGAGGTAACCGTTAGCCTCTTGCCTATCAATTTATAGGTGGGCTGACTTGGGAGCATCTAACATAATTGATTCCTAAGGAGGTTTATTTTTCAAGGCTATTGGAGACTAGCCCTAAGTTTTGAAAAGTAAAAAAATAACGAAAAATTAAGACTGTCCAAATTGATGCTTTCCGGAATCATTTGTTAAGGGGACATGCATGTATACACAGGGAATAATACAAAGGCTATAGAAGTATTTGGGGTTTTTATAGCTACGTTCATATTTATACCACTTTTGTCCATTTTCTGTACACTTATTTAAGGGTCACACGCACCATGGAGCATAGGTTTTGTCATTATTAAGGCAAGGATGTTGCCTAGAGAGCTAGTGAGGAGTCAAGACACCAGGCTCTAAAAGATTACAGCTCAGGTTCCCTACCCCCAGACTGCCTCCCATCTGCCGATCTTTCCCCAGTCAGGAAGTCTGTTACAGTAAGCATCAGGACGGAAAGGCCTCTAGGGAAAAGAAGGCCCACAGCAAAATAGTCACATTAGTCAATGTCTCAAAGGAAATTAGTACTTTCTCACCCCACTACTGAGATATTTAAAGCGAAATTACATAGGTCAACATAAATAGGCCAAAGCTTTGTTTTCAGGTTTGAAAGAATGCATAATTCTGTTAACAAATTGAATAGATGACCTGAAATGTACAAAGGCCCCATTTTGGTCTCTCTGTGAAACGAAGTGATTGACCTCACTTGCAAGCACAGAATAATTTGATGTGCTTAATTTCTGATTAAAACCCACCCAATGATCTTGCATTGCTTTGTAAGTAGAAGGGAACTGTCTACTTTCAGTCTTCTTAACTTGCACCCAGGGCCAGAATCCTAGTTCTTTCTGCAATACCTTATGCCTTTCCTACCATCTAAGAATATCATAATGTGCTGCTGAGCTATTTGTGAATATACTTTGAAAAGCAAGAGCTATTCAAATGTGAAGGAGCATTCGTGAAAGCAAAGTGGAATTCAGCCCAAATGCTTCGCCTCACCTGCCTGTCGAAGCATACATTAGTGATGATAAAGCAGAAATCCTAAACAGTGAGATCATGGCGTGCATGTCATCTTGGTGTTCCATCACGATGAAATTTGCCTAAGGAATTTAAATTCCATTTGCCCAAGGAATGCAAATTGCAAAAGGCCTCAAAGAGCCCTGGCAAAGGAACTCAGGTAGGTCTGTGTAGTGGCGATGAGTTGGGGTCCATTCTCCAGGGGATGATTCGTCTTTTGCAGGCAAGGAGTTTGCTAAATCATGTTGGCAGCTGTAGCCTAAAGTAATTATCCTTGCTGTGTGTACACAGTTCCCGTTAGAGCAGCCACTTGGCCTGTCTGGGCCCAAGGATGTTTTGACACTTGGAGTATAAATAGCTTTTTGCAGGGATTTTTCTTCTCATTGGACTTTTTTTATTTTTTTTAATCAGCTCAGGGCTAGCAGGTAGGTCTTCACAGTGGTTTTCCTTTCTCTTTCTTTTAATAGGAAGCAAAAGCTACTCTGTGTACGATTCTGAGAATGGTTCTCATCAAAAATGATAAATTTTCCCATAAAGCAGTTTGAGGAAATTGTTTCTAAGAGCTTTGTAGGTTACATGTTCTTATTTTTCTTTTTAAGATTTATTTACTTTTATGTATGCAGAACTGGGGTACAGGCCAGAGGTGCAAGGGCAGTGAGAGGATTCACCTAAGACAGTGGGGAGCAGAACAGACAGATTGACAAAGTACACTGCTGACTTAGTAAAATGTAATATGTTTATTTTCTTGTTTTTAGTATCAATAATGTTATTTGTAATTATTAATGGAAGTTAGTGATCTCTTAGAAGTGTGAAATAACTCCTGTTGGTGCATGATTTGAGAGTGTTCTCAGTGAAAAGCAACTTACAGAGACTTTTGAAGCAGAAGACCGGCCAGGACCATCAACTCCCATGGAAATTCAGGAAGAATCATTAATCTGGAGGTCAGGGAAGGAACCTGTCCCTCCTCAAGCTCTTAGCACAGAAGGTGCTACTTCAGGAAAAGGAGGGTTTGATGTCATGAGCCAGAGAAACTAATTTCCTTAGCTTCTAAGATTAGCAGATGAGACATTTTTTTTTCAATAGCAAAACTCATCCAAGCCCATTTTGTTGCAGTATTTCAAAATGCAGAACTATAAATAGATCATTAAAATCACTCCAAGAAAGCAGGAAATTAAAAATTCAATCTATAAAATTATTTAAGCAAAAAGAAATTTGAACCTTCCATTCAATGTTATTTTGCAATGTAATATTTCAAAGAGGTATTCCACCTCAAGACCCAGAATACTGAATATGGAATATGTTTTCCTGCCACCATATGAGAAGGAAAGAAGATGCTGAGTTTCTACAAGCAAAATGGACTAGATGGCAAGGCAGGACGAAGGTACAACTATTGGCTTGTTGGTTCCCAAGGATTCCATCCTAATGCTACAAATACTCTTGGGTCACATGAATCTTTGCCAGTGTCCCTTGAGGTATCCTGAGTTGATTTCCACCTTTAGAGATCCAGCATGAACTCAACTTTCTAGTGACTTCAGTAGGTACTTCAGCCTGATAACAAAGGACTAGCAGTATCGGTGGTGATTGTTGACAGTGTTTCATTACAGAGCAGAGCCAGCAGAGTAAGAAGGCTAATTCAAAGACTCACAAATGCCTTTATTAGATTTCACCCACTTTCTAGTTTCCTCTGATCCTTAGTCCATTCAATCCCAAGCAAAGTAAATTAAGATAAAATCAGAAAAAAGAAGGAATGACATCTCCAAATAGAATCTTCATTTAAGCCACAAAAGAAGCAGCAGCAGACAGGAAGCAAACAATTGGAGGACAACAATGGAGTCTCTACTTTTTAAAACATACTCACTAAAACGCTTAAGTCTAGTTCAGCTCACTGCATGTCCCTCCGTTTGAAGACTGTCAAACTGTCTTTCTCCTAATGAAATGCTACTAGTCAACACTCTCACCCTCACACTGATTTCTTGGCCTCTTCTTTTCACATTATCTCTGTACTTGGATTCAGCTCATTTTGGCCACTGTTCCTTCACGTAAATGTCTCCTCTCTGCTATTTGCCCCCCTGGTCTTCAAGCCAGCTTTCCTGCGGGGCCCTCCCTGGCCTCCCAGGCTGACTGCCCCCCTGTCTTCCCTCAGCCCCTCCTTCATTGTCTCTCTCATCTCACATACCTCCATCTACCCACATCTCTTCCTAGCCCACATTTCACAATAAAAAAGGAAGAAGCCCACTATAAAAACCAAAACTTAAAGTTTCTAAGACTTTCTTCACTCTGCAAAGCAGAAAAATTACTTCCTTTGCCCACTGACCCCTTTGAACTAGGAGAACTAGCTAAAGTTGTTGCAGGGGGACTAGTATAGATGGCAACAAGCCACTCAATGTGTTGGGCAGGTGTAAGAGAGAGCTATAGAGCAGGTAACAGTGATTAGAGAAAGCAGATTTGGGGCCTCCCTGGTGCTCTAGGGAGGCCTCTACAGACTGAGTTCAATCCCCGGCCAGGTTGCTGACCCACAGGGCACAGCAGACCTCTCCTCTCTCACCTGCTGCGTCCCTCAGCAGTGTATTTCAGTATATTTCAGCCTGTTCTGCTGGTGGCTTTCTGGTGGGTCTTCTCACCCCCCCACATCTCTGGCCTACACTCCAGTTTTCCTATGCAAAAATTAAATATTAAAAAAAAATCAGAAAGAGCAGGTATGGGCAAAATGTTAAGTTCAGGGGGCATAGATGCATCTGTTGAAGACAAAAGAAATTTGCTAATGGAAAGAAAGGAGATACATACGGCATCACACACCCCTTCCCCACACACATATATACGTAAATGATAAGGAAAAGGTGGGATCACAGGAGGAAAGGGGTTTTAAAACAGGAAGGAGCATGCCTCCCTCTGTGACAGCAAAGAAAGAAGGCTAATGAAGAATCTTGGTGAGCCAGAGCCTCAGGGCCAGGGGTCAGAGAATGTTGAGCAGGGCAGGACTTTCGAGACAGCGGCATCCAAGCATCTAATTTTCCAGAACTGGAAGCAGGGGTGAACAGGCTGTGACTGCCCTCAGTTTTTAACAACAGCAGCAAATGGTGTGTGAGAGAATGATTACCCCAGAGGGACTTTGTGCATCTCTCCCCAGTAACTAACAGGCAGCCCTCGGTGTTAGACATTCCTCTCTCGAGTTTCCCTCCCTCAGATATCCTGGTGCAAATTTCATTCACACCTCTGACTCTTCTAAGGCAGGGTCCTTATCACTGCCAGCCAGAAATGACATCTCCACTTTCTTCACATTTACACCTGAAA